TTCCTGGTTCCATCTGTTTCATCACTGGAAGTTTGTTCAGTTTACAGATCTGCTCAGTTGTTGATATTCAATTCAATTCAATTTTATTTATATAGCGCCAAATCACAACAACAGTCGCCTCAAGGTGCTCATATTGTACCCATGCTCAGTCTGTGAAGGTTCTCAGTCATCCAGCTCATCGTAGTGTAAGGAGCTCAGAAAGAAAAGTGTCTGGACTAAGTTGCTTGAAGACGTCCAAAGAAGTCCAGACGCTTTTCTTTCCAAGCTCCTTACTACTATGCTACTACCCATGCTCAGATAATGGCTGAAATCTGTGGTGTGTAGAAAACAACAACAACAACAACAGACACAGTTTGTTTATCTTTTAGAGTTTGTTTATTATATGGATATGAACAGAATATGTTCTGGTCAGGCAGACACATTACAGAAGAAAGCATGCGTTTTTTTTAGCACAGAAGCTACCTCGCCTAGAAAGTGTATTGTAAAATATGAATGTTTAATCACTACAAAGGACAAATCAACTTGAAGCTCTTCTCATTAACATGGCAGAAATTTAACACAATTGTTCCATATTGTGGGCACAAAGATGTTAATGCACAAAACTGTATACAGTGTTGTGCTCAATAACACACCTCTTACTCTTACTGTTAATATCTCATTAACAGCCAGGGTTTCAGCTCTGTCATTTACCTCCTAACATTGAGAGGGGGCGCTACTGAGCTTACATAGAGCTTAGGTTTTAATAATGTCAGGCTAAATGTATAAATGTTCACACCATTACATTCAAGGTGAGATCTGCGCAGACTCAAACAGCAGGTCAGAAAATGTTTACAGCCACAGGAAGCAAAGAAAAACCTTGTAGAGTAACACATGTAAAACTTTATCGATAAACAAATGTGTATACAAAAATAATTAATAAATAATCTTGATGTGTTTAAACTGAAGTAATAGGCTGAAGAGTCTCCTTCATGGAGGAACAAGTTAAGGCTTCATAGATCAGAGGAAACATGTGACTCTGCAGCTCCATGTAACACATTTCTCTTTGGTTTCATAATAATATCAGATTATTCAATCGTTCAGTTCTAGCTGATAAATGGACCCTGAGCACTTTGTGTTGTGTTTTTTGTTGTCAGTCAGTGTCTGTAATTATTGTGTAACATCTAAACATGAGGATCAGTCTGCGAGTCTGACCTCACAAACAGCTGAACCTGAAGATGAAACAAACTCACTGATTCTGATATTGTGACAGAGACGACGCTGAATTCATCACTGTGAACAAATGTATTTCTGTTGAAACTGAATGTTTTCTGTTGAATATCACTGATCAGACTTCCTGAATGTTCCACATATAAAAAAGGCAAAAGTGTAAATAGTACTGTTTAAGAATCAAACCTAACCTGAAAGATAAAACAACCTAATAGCTAATACTGTTGCAAAGAAAGCAAACAAAAAACAAACAAACAAGTATAATAACTTAACTACACTGATAGCTGACTGATGTCTGTCCTCTAGATGTTCAATAACACTACCGAAAGTCAGGATATGCAGGAGACTCCGATTTCAGCTGCTAAAAAAAAAAAAAAAAACTGAGACGTTTCAAACAGGCTGCAGTTCAGCAGGTTGATGGTACGGATCCTGAGTCTTTGTTTTTTCATGTTTTCTGTATATCAAAAATCCAGCAGCAGCAACAAGAACAACAAGCAGAGCAAAAACTATCAGACCAACGATCAGTCCAACAGATCCATCCTCTGTGTCTCCTCCTGTCTGACCTGCAGGTGAGAAACAGGTGTGAGGTGTCAGCTGTCAGGTAGGTGATGAGTGAAGAACAGAACAGAATCCATTTCCTCTTTAAACTGCTGTCAGACATTATCTACTGCAGTGTTTCTGCCGCAGCTGTGAGTCTCTGCATGCTGCCTTTTCTGTAGCTACAGCTGTTTGTATACACTGAACTAAGGCTACGTTCACAGTACAGATCTTAATGCTCAACCACTGTGCTGAGGCACCTAGGTGTGCTGTGAGAGATCGTCAGGTGTGCCGAGAAATTATCTAATTGTAATTAATTGGTCCAAAAAATACAATTTAATAATTATTACAAGTAATAAAATCATTGTTGTTCATCTGTGCGTTCAATGCAGTGACTGGTAGAATAATTACTCTTTCATGTCAGTGGGTAGCGCAATATCACCTTGTTATGTTAAGACAATAGAGTTAGTGATGCGCGCGGTACAAGATGCAAGATGTACAACAAAGATGGATAAATATTTGAAAAGAAAAACTGCAGACTCCGAACTGGGCCCTGGATAAAATTCTAATCCAGAAGAGCCGAGTACCAGCAGTAGTCAAAAGAAAGCAAAAATGGTGAGCTCAAGGCAATACAGCAAAAGTTATCTTTTGTTTGGATTCATTTTCACTGGAGATCCGACTGCACCGACTCCGTTATGTTTGGTGTGTGGAGAAAAGCTCTCAAACAGTGTTATATTCCCAAGCAAGCTTAAATGCCATCTCCACATCAAACAGGCCTCACTTCAAAACAAGAACACAGACTATTTTGTTTGCCTGCGTGAGAAACAGGTAACTTTAATTAGGAAAAACACAAAGGTGTTTGAAAGAGCTCTCAAAGGTAGCTACTTGGTGGCTGAACTTATAGCCAAATCCCAAAAAAAACCACACACCGTAGCAGAGACGTTAATACTATCTGCCTGCAAAGCCATTGTGAATGAGATGCTCGGCCCTGATGAAGAAATAGCCAAAGTCCCGCTCACAGATAACACAATTGCCAGACATATTGATGACATGTCTGCAGACATCGAAAGTGTGGTTTTGGAGAAGATACGCTTCAGTGGGAAGTTTGCATTGCAACTTGATGAGTCTACGGACATTAGTGGACTCCAACTCTTGGCCAACGTGTGTTTTGTGGATGGAAACTCCATCAGAGGAAATGTTCTATTTTGCAAGGCACTGCCAGAAAAAACAACAGGAGAGGACATTTTTCAGGTTTCATTCAAATATCTTGAACAAGGAGGACTTGAGTGGGAAAACTGCACGAGTGTCTGCACTGATGGAGCAGCAGCCATAGTCAGGCGCACCAAAGGATTTGTTAGCAGAGTGAAAGCGATACACCCACATGTTATTGTTACGCACTGTTTTCTGCACCGTGAGGCGCTCGTTGCCAAGACTTTACCAACACACTTTACCAGAGCAGAGCATACAGCCTCATTGCTCCACACGGAGGTCTGATGGTTGTCACATGGCAAAGTACTGGCCTGCGTGAATGAGCTGCGAGAAGAGCTAAAAGTGTTTTGGAGTGAGGAGAGGTACAATGATGCAAAGCTGCTTGCAAGTGATGAGTGGTGTGCAAGGCTGGCTTACATGGCAGATATATTTCAGCATTTGAATGAACTGAACACACGAATGCAAGGAGGAAAACCTGCTCACAAGCACAGATAAAATAAATGGATTCCGTTCAAAGGTGAATCTCTGGCAACAACATCTGGAAAATGCCAACCGTGGCATGTCCCCACTCACTCAGAAATGGCAAGGAGATATCAAAACTGCTACACTGTGTGAAATAATAGGTAAACATTTGAAAACGCTTGAGGAGAAGTTGTCCATTTATTTCCCCTCAGTCTCCACTGAATGCCTTGACTGGGTAAGGGACCCATATAGCTCAGCAGCAGTTTTCAGAAAGGATATGACTTTGCAGGAGCAGGAGGAACTAACTGAACTGAGACAAGACCGTGGTTTAAAGCTGAGCTTTGCTGATCTATCTTTGGACACTTTT